TCAATAAATTTTCGTTCTGGTTCAACTAAGTAATCCGCTCCTCCATAGTTAATATTCCCCGTAACATTGGCTGAAATAATTATTTCACTTCTTGGTGGTATGCAAATATCACTTGCTGCAGTAACTCTGTAACAACCTAATGTACCTTCCCAGGAAAATGCACATTTCTCATTATTTAATCGCAGCGAACTCTCTTGAAGATCTATCAGCCCATTGTATTTCTTTAGAAAATCAAGCCCAATAATTCCGTCCACAGAAATATCTGCAACAACTGCATCAATAATTCTATCTGATTCACCAATCTTTAAAGAAAATGTTGCTTTACCATAGTGGGACAGAACAGAACCACTAGCATTAAATATTCGCTGTGCATTCTCCTTTAGCTCAGGTCTTTCCTTCTGCAATCTATCAAACAATCTCTTTGAAATAATAGTAAGGGATGCTCCAGTGTCAATCAAGAGTTTTGCGCTACTCCCATTCACATTTCCCTGAATAAAAATTCCTGCTTCCTCGCACAAGTTGTTTGCGCCAACATTGCCATCTTTTGTAGATTTTCTCTTCCTTTTACGTCTACTGCGAACTTGACATGCGCTTCCGCCATCTGACTTTGCTACATGTCTCCGTCTATCCTTTTCTTTGTCTTGAACTCTGTTCTTTAACTTTTGGCAATTTTTCCGAATGTGTCCTTCTTCCGAGCAGTAGTAACATTTTACCCTGTTACGTTTGCCTTCTTTCTGCAAAGATTCTCTCTGAAATCTTGTATTTGTCTTTATCTGTCTCTCCAAATTATCTATTTTATTCTGCATTTTCTACATCAGCGCTTTCAAATCTTCAGAACTGGCAGTTTGGGTTTGGGTTTGTCCGTGAGTTTCAATTGCGCGCATGTGGCTTCTTTTTTCTGTCTTGTAGTAGGCATCAAGTTCTACTGCTAAGCGAATAGCTTCATTGAGATTCTGTGGTCGACTCTGCTTTATGCGTAGTCTCATATCAGAATCTATCAATCCATCGATAAAAGCCTCCTTACCAAGGGTTTCTCTTACTTCCGCTGGTGCAGATGGATATGCCAAATAAGTTAATCTACGCACAGCTTGGCCTAGCTCAGATAATGTTTCTGATGCCCGTTGTCGCCTTTCTTTTAGTTGCGCACGGTACAACTCAGTCTGATTAGGTGGGGCAAATCTTTCTTCAAGGGCTTTCACTAAAATGTCATATTGTTGTCCTGTTTCTGACGGAACATTTCCTAATATTCCTTGTGCAGCTCCTCGTAATGACACTGCTAAATACAACCCCTTTTCCTTAGAATTCCAATTATTGATAGCCGCACATGCATCAAAATGCGATTTGTAATCTAGCCAAGAATGAGTCCCATCAAAGGTTGCAGGCTTTAAGTTACACTTGGCTATAGTTTTATCTTTTTGGTCTTCCTTCTCTTTACCCACTATGTCCCTTATCTGCCGAGGAAATACGCTATCTATCCCTGCGTTTACCTCATTCCTGTCGGAATTTCCAAGTCGACACTGCATACGTGCAGGTGCTTGATACTGCGCATTCGCTGGTGTTTGATGCAGCGCATCCGCTGGTATTTGATGCAGCGTATCCGCGGATGAATGATTCATCGGTATCGGTGGCTGTGCATAATCCTTTAAAGCAGTTTCTGAAAACCGCGCATTTAATGACAACCTTGGAATCTCATACTTGTTTTGCACCTGACCCTCATGAGGTAATTCTGCATTTCTCATTTGCGCAGGAGACCCAATTTGATACTGCGCTTGCGATGGCATTTGCGACTGCACACTCAGTGGAACTTGAAAAGGAGAATGCGCAAGAGTCTCACTCAACACATGAGCTGGATGCGGATGCGCATTTGACAAAATGCTCGGCGTTCTTCTACTGGGCAGTGGCGCAATCGCTTCATACTGAGGCGCACTCACAGCATAATCTGTTGTCAAGAGTGATGCATCTGGCCCAGAAGTCAAATTTCGTTGCGCCGTTTTTCTTCTTACTGTCACTCCACCTATGTCTTCTCGGGGCTGATTTCCTTGAGGGCTTTCACCAGCCATTGTTGCAATGCCAGAATCGCGCATTGGTCTATTTGAATCAACAGGTGTAGATTGCTTCTCTATTTCAAGGCGCAATCGCTCGCAGCTCTTTTCAAGAAAAGATATCTCCTCATTGAGCATTTCTTCCATCGCGCTCATAATTTACAAAGCAAATATAATTAAAAAAAAACTTTAATCAATTTAAAATATCTATTACTTTTATTATGTGCCGAATCCCACCGCTGCCACCAAATTTATGTAACGTTTCCGGGTTCTTTTATGGGATTCGGTTGTTCTATCTGAACAATTTAAGAATTAATCAATTTTCTCAATCACAAATTTAAATTAGAAATATGTACACTATCCCTCTCGTTCCTCGGGAGCGCACGCGCCTTCCAAGGACTGAAGCGCATTCGCTTCTTGCCTTCAGTCACACAAATGTATAAAGGTACTTTATATAAATATATATAACCAACCAAAGTCCTGAAAGCCTAATTCAGGCACGTAAGACTTTATTCAAGGATTCCCTTGCAGTACCTACCACGTTCAGCTCTTCTGTTCTAGACTGTCTTTACAAGCCAGTAGTCAGCAACAGACTGCTTCAAACAACCCGACTGTCTCCGTATATATACACACTTCAGGTCACGTGACCTGCTGAGAACCGAAGGGAACAAAGAAACAGGAAGTCATCACAATGTAACTACCGAGAAACGAAGGGATAATTGGTCTTGATTTCAGTTTTGCTTCAGTTATTTGGGCAGAATTTTGGGTTATTAACAGTTGACAACTCATGAAACCATTTTTTTTTTTTGGTAATAAGTAGGTCACACTGATGCAAGAAATTGCCTTTTTCAAATTAAAAAGCCGGTAGTAACTCTTCATGAAATGAAGAATCATCTGTATTTCATAAAAAAATAAGCATTCGTCTGCACCTATTAATCGGCGGAAGAACTCTGTCAACTTGCAATAAACACTTACATTTATTCACCAAAAATGATAAAGACGCCAATTCTGTGTTCCCTCCTTCATTAAAAAATTATACTCTCGCTTCGGAATTTCAAATCAAAAAGGCGGTCGAAACTTTCACTTTGGCGTCAACAATATTGTCATTTACGGTAGAAGATATTAAGAAAAATCTAAACATCGGCGGAAGAACTTTATCCGAAATAGTTAGTATATAAAAATCTGCGGGTTTTTGTTCGTTCCCTATATAAACCTTTATGGAATCTGTCGTCATTATAGCTCCAATATGGCCGATATGTAAATGAGAAGAATGAACACCATCTCTCCATATGATTAGTTTTAGTCTGAATAGACTGGGATACATGAATGTGCCCCCTTTATGGTTCTCTCTCATTTCTTTCAGTCTTTCTATTTCTAATTTCTACCTACTTGAAGGCTACTTCATTCACATATTTCTATTTGAAACTGATTAAAACATTATGAAACCACAGCCATTTCTTTTCACACCCCTCTCTTTTTACGATACAGCTTCTTTTGTGGAGAATTGATAATATATTTCACATATAAAATTGAGACATCAAAATACACGAGGACGCACGAGGATAGGTATAATCACTGATAATACTAGGTATATAAGCTATTCAAGTGTGAAAAAGAATACAACTGAATCGTAATATAATTTCTGTCAGTTTCATAAAAATGTAGTGGAACAGTTTATTAGCCATAAAAAGGAAAACAATTCTTAAAAAAAAAAAATACAGATTAGAAACGAAAAAGAAATCGGAAACGGGGGGGGGGGATCACTCAACATCTTCTATAAACGAGAACTATTAACATATAAATACCATTATTGTTTAATTTGAGATAACACTTGTATAAACATGATAAACTAAGGTTGTGTTACAAAATTTTGGTTAAAAAGTGTATTTAAGAAATCAATACTAGAGTAGGCGAAAATGTCTATCAAATGCGCTATGGCTCTTTTGATTGGTGGAATACGGGTTGAGGTGGATGGGGTAAACCACATGCTTACCAAAATAGTAACTAAGTAAATATTTTATTATAGTGACATGTGTATATACACAAATACAATAGTAGTTATAATAGAAACAGATCTACATTACACCCCGACCCATATTTCACTTTAGCATAATAATATAACATATTTTCATTTTCAAAAGAGAGGGTACATGCATTAATTAGATTTGTACAAATATTTTTGTTTTACTGAAAAGATTAAATTTAAAAATTTGGGTTTTTCTTTGATTATTTTTCATTTAAGTGTTTAAATTATATGGAAGCGTATTAGTACCACGTAATATTTTTTTGAAGTTAGAAATTCCAACTTTATTCTTGGCTTTTCCAACTTAAAAGTTGGTTTTTCAAATTTTAAAGTTGGAAGTTCCAACTTTAATCTTAACTTTCCCAACTATAAAGTTGGAAATTCCAACTTTAAAGTTGGAAAAACCAACTTTTTCGGGCTTCATGGGTTTTATTCGTATACTTTGTAGTTAATCAGAGTTGGAAAAGCCAAGGTTAAAGTAGGAATTACCAACTTTAAAGTTGGAAATTCCAACTTTAAAAAAATATATTATGTTTCACTAATACGCTTCCGTAATATTATCAACTAGATCTACATTTCTATTTAAATTAATATTATAAAAGAAAGTTTGTTCTGATGATTTCTTACAAACTCATCCCTCCTACACACCCCAAAATGCTTCGAAGGTTAAAGGCAATGCGTGCCGAACCTAACTGGGGACGAAACAACGAATGACATAAGCGATGTTATGTAAATACGATACACGACGGTCGTGCAAATAGTCATTGAAAAATTATATATATACAAAGGTCGTGCGAATAGCCGATGAAAAATTATATACACGACGGTCGTGCGAATAGAATTATATACACGGCGGTCGTGCGAATAGCCGATGAAAAAGTACTCGACGGTCGCGAAAAGTGGCCACCAACATTTTTGTCTCATATTGAACCAATTCACTTCTCAAGGATTACAAGGTTGGCAAAGCTTACGGATATTTCACAAGTGGCTGGCTCCAAGAAGTTTTTTTATTACCATTTGACAGGTGAAAAGAAATGCATCTTAAGAGCTAAGTGCACCCCCTCCCAAAGGATTCGAGATGATTTACATGACTGCTGGACAGCAATATCAGAAGAGGATGGTGAAGTTTTGGGAGCCTACTGCACATGTACTGCAGGGTATGAAAAAATTTACAATGTAATTCATTTCAATTCACTAATAGCCAAATTTGATTAACATAAAACTTAGAAACCAAAAAAGCTATTAAAAGTACTGTATGTGTCTTACATCTTAATATGGATGAACATGTATGAAATCAATATTGTAGACTGGGGCAAATATGCAACCATGTTGCTGCCTTGCTTTTTTTGCATTGAGGCTGCTAATCGGTATGGGCAAACGTCATGTACCATGGCCAAATGTGGTTTGGTGCAGCCAAAGGCAATGAAGGATTTGGAGCCCCAGAAAATTTCAGCCTTATGTACCAGCCTGAAGAAATCTTCTCAAGCTAAAAATGGTTATTGTTTACTTAATTGTTTGTTCTGATGTTCTGCAGTATTACCATGATTACAGTATCCTTGAAATACATACAATTTTTTAGCTATCTCAAGATTCTTTTTTTCATTTCATCTTACAACAAAAGTACCATTGAAAGGCTAAGTATTTTTTTAAAAGTGATTGTGAATCTTTTTGTATTTATACATAATACATAATTTACTTTTGTAGCTAAAAGCAGACCACTGGTGGCTACTGAAAAAAAAGTACAACCCTCTTGAAATTGAGGAATCCAACAACACGGTACTTGACAGTTTTACCATTGCACTCTGTGGAGTTGTCCCCGAGGCCTGTTTATTCAAAGGTACACTAAAAATAATCTAACAATTTACCATTATGGACTGTTTAGAAGGGAGACATCACCATTTATCAGGTCTGAGTAGGGTTGTCACCTGAGAGCGCTTGTACCAGAGAGCAACAACCTACTCAGACCTGATAATTGGTGATGGCTCCCTTATGAACAGTCTATAATTATTTTATAATAATGAAGAATCTAAATTATTAAGATAAAGTAGAAAATATGAGTTAAATTTCATTTTTTCCTACCCACTGCTCCAATTCCATACTTTGAAAATATGTCGACAGACAACTTTGACCTCACCGTTAGCATTTATTGTTTACCAATCCTGCATATAAGTTATATAATTTAAATATGAGTCATCTCGCTTATGGCACTTATTTTCATTTAAAGGGAGACAACAAAGTTGTTACCCTGCTCATTCGCTTCAGCAATTTCATTGTCATCTGAAAGGAGGCAATGCAGGTGTCACCCTGAGCATGAGGGAGACTTCACGAATTGTCTCCCCAGACATGACATGCTTTAAACCAATCAAAATGACTGTTAAAAATTTCTTTAAGATAATATTACTAATTATTAAATTCTATATAAATTATAGAATATAGAGGAACAAAAATTGTAAAAATGGAAAGACTGTAAAAATGTTCTCTTAACTAAGTTTAGGTGTTTACTAATAAGTTGTTTATTGATCCTTTTCTGTAAGGTGTTTCCTGGCTTGCCAACAAATAGTTTATTAGCAACCAGAGCATGTTTTTACTTGTCATGTAATATATACATTTCTAGTTTGACATGACATGTACGGAAAAATTTGAATTCAGTCAGAGACTTGTTCGCATTAAGTTATTATGACGTTAATTTTGTTTATTTACTTCAAGGTTTACCTCAGACTGGTGATGTATTAACTTCAGCTCTGGGAACAGAGGGAACGCTAAGAACAAGTAATCAAGGATCAACCAATGAAGATACAGGTCATGAAGAATTTTCTGCTATTGATAAATTTGATTTATCAACCATATCAAAGTCTTATAGTTCTCAAAATACTTGTTATGAATTTCTAAATTTTTTACTAAAAATTGATGAATGTGAAATTTCCAAAATTGAGAAATTTACAGTTGGTCAGCATGAAAATGAAAATTGGCACCACTTGCGTAAAGGACGGATAACTTCTTCAAAATTTTATCAAGTATATACTAAAGTAAACTCTGTTCTAGAAGGTCGTAGAAAAAATATACAAGTAGATTGTTCTTCACTTACAAAGACTATTATGTGTTATACAAAAATTAATCCTTATATCAAATCTTTAAAATATGGAAGAGAAACCGAGCAATAGCAGTCTGTTCTTATTTAAACAGTTATAGAAAAAAACGTCAATGTATCATCAAGAAATTGTGGTCTTTTTATAGACAAGAAAAATATTTTTCTTAAGTGCCAGCCAGACTTATTGGTTTCTTGTTCATGTTGTGGAGATGGTCTTGAAGTTAAGTGTCCTCTTGTATCTGAGTGTAACAAATGTAAGTCTTTTTGTGTTTTGTCATGGAAATCTTCCAGATTATGTTACAATTTCAGATGATGTCTTTTGTATTAAAAAAAAACCATGCATATTTTGCTCAGATTCAGGGCCAGCTTAGCATTACAGGTCGCAATTGGTGTGATTTATATGTATACACAAAAAATGGCCCTTTGCAATGTAGAATTACATTTGATCAGGATGCATACTTGAAACATTTGTTGCCAAATTTAGTTTTATATTTCACTGATTACATTGTACCTGAACTGTTACAAGGTAAACTTAAAGAATGTAAAGAGATTATAGAACCTATGGATGTTGACATAAGCACTAGCAACAGTTCTCGATTCTTTTGTCCAGTGTGTAGGAACATCATAAATGAGTCTATTACATCCTATAGTGATAGAAGCATTGCTTGTGATGAATGCAATTTGTGGTTTCATTTTAAATGTGTAAATGTTACACAAACAGTACTAAAGCAGAAAGAAAAGTGGTTTTGTTTTAAATGTTCTACATCCAAGTGAATTATGAGTATTGATAGATAGAGAATAATTGTGTTAATTCATAGTGAGTGTTAAATATTATTTAAGTGTTTGTTTGTTGTTTACTTCAATAAAAAATGTGACTTTGAATAGAAAAGTTATCTACACAAAAACAGTTTCACTTGTTCTTGTAGGTGCTATACTAGTACATGAAAGAAAATTTTGAAATATTTTATTGGTACTTAGGCAAGGGAGGATATAAGTTGCAAATGTCTGCAACAGTTTTAATTATATCATCTAAGTGCTGAAATAAAGTAGCAGGGACTTCATGCTTCAGAATTCTGAAATACTTCATCCTGCGAATGGCTTGCTCAACATATATACGCCTGTTCGCTGTATGTTTTGTTTGCTGTACTTCATCAGCTGACATTTGACAATCTCCTCTGCGTCCGGGTGGGACCATCAAATTGGCATGAAGAAGCATAACTTCTTCTTTGATTTGAAATCCTCTATCCGCCATGATAACATCATAGGGTTCTATCAAACTGTAAAAACCAGATTGATTTGTGATGTACTTATCACTGGTTTTACCTCCCCAACAGTCGGAAAGAAAATTAATCATCTCAGATGGGTTGATGCTGATCAAAAACTTAGCGGTGTGATGATGTTTGTAGTCAGACCATGTTTTTGTCTGCACTTCTAGGTTCTGTGGTTTCTCCAAAAATACTTCAGTACATTCTATGATATGGCGCACAGATGACTATTTTTTGCTTTAGATGGATTGAACACAAGGGTACCAAGAAATTTGGATAGTATCTTGATCCATGTTTTGAAGATTTTTGAGATTTGTGGAGTGCTAATGTTTAACCTTGTGGCCTAATCTTCATTTAAAAGACCGAGTCTTAACTTCATAAGAGTCAATGCCATCTCCTCTTTTAATGACAGAAATCTTTGTGGCCCTAGGCCTGATTTTTTGAACGCCTTATGTTTGAGGGTCTGGAACACATGCTTAGGGCCTCTCTAGTACTTAGTTTTCTTTATCTTTGGCTCAATAACTTTGTAAATGGTATTGAATGCATCTAAGGAAGGCAAACCAGTATGGAATCTTACAGATATGTTACTTTTTAAGACTGTCTCTGTAATGGAATCTGGTTTTTGCTTTAGTTTCTTTTGCTTTATTAACTCAATTTGGAGTTCATTGATTTTTGATTTGAGTGCTGAAATCTCTTTTGATTTTTCAATACAGTGGATACAATGATTTGCATAATCATGATCAAGTGTAAATGTGTGTACAAAGTCATCTAGGCTCTCAGACATCTTTTTTTGGGGGGGTGGTTCTTGATGTAATTGTCTTCTAGTTGGAGGTAAGCGGGCCTTGGAAACAATGGAAGACATATGCCCCAAATTGATGGTGGGATAAGGATGGAGTAGTGAGGGTGCGCCATCAACAAAATGCTTGGAACAAACGAGAGAATTGTCATTTGGTGACCAGATGTTCCTCCCATCAGTTGAGGTCCTGTTTATATTTTTTCTCCATACAAACCTTGCATGGGCATCACGAAGTTCAGTAGGAAATGTAAATAACTGAAAGGGTGGTGAACATATGCACCTTGATGTACCATAGTTGCATGAGTGTATTTCGCAAAACTGTTCTCTCCATTTTTTCAAGTTGTATCCACTGCTGTTGCAGTCTTTGACACAACAAACCCTCTGGGTCATAATGTTTTAAAACAAACCAAAAATAATTGGAACTCTTAAATTGAAAATTAGAAACTCAACAAATCTTTGCAACATACCCATCAGCAAATGCTGAAATTTAAAACAAAATCATGAAGATTTATAAATGAATATTTTAGGGCAATGAAAAAGGTGAAGATCTGATTTAATATCTTCATTTAAAGTCAGGGGAGAACAGTTCCAAGAGCCACTCTACACTGTATATGTGTCTAAACAAGGGTATATTAAATGTCATTGAGTGGTTGATTTTTTTCTTCTTTTTCTGAGAAAAAATAAAACGTTCATAAATTAAAATAATGCATTAGGATTTAATACGATTGTCAAAAGAAGGTACATGTACGTACAATGTCGTGCAATTCAATATCTAAAGTGAAAAAGGGTGAAGATAACGACCATTGATCAATCTAAAAAAATCCACAAGCAATACAAATCTGATAACTGGGCATAAAACATTGACCCCCGGGAATTCTAGAGGTGGGATCAGGTGGTGAAGACTATAGTAAGCATCCCCCGTCGACCGGTTGCACCCGCTGTTAGCTCTAAATATTGATAAGGTAGACGGAATATTCCGTAGCCAAATTCAGTATAAAAACAAAGACCTAACGATTGGTATGAAAAACATCAATCAAAATACGAGCCAATGATAATTTTTCCTCAGATAATACTTTCATTTTGACTTGAGATGAGATCCTTTTTTCCCTTGTTATATTAAGGCATTAACAAGAAATGCAGGTGAAGATAGTATATTACTACATAAAAGTCTTGAAGTCTTCAACTAATCATAAAGCTTAGATAATAGTTTGCCTTCAATGCCTCTCTCTTTCTTTGAAACAGATGAAAAAGATCTGTTATTTCGAATTCATTAAAAAATACATGTAAATTCAACGTATGATTAAAATGAATATTGTAAGTTTAAGTTCCAAACAAAAGAAGAAGCTTGACCTGAGATAAATTTGTTATTTATATACATTACAATATTTATGCTCGTATTTAGTCTATTTTAACTTTTCGTAATTGATAAAATAAGAGAAAGTAATGTTTGTAAAATAAATATATTTACAAACACACCAGATTAATTCCGTCAAGGTAGTAAAGCCAGGTATTTATACCCTTTAGTATGTAACACCAAGTTTCTGTACCAATAAGTGAGTAGCAGAAAATCAAGTAAACGTGTTATACAAAGAACTTCTCTAGCTAGAAACAATTCATTACATCCATCCACGTTATAAAAATATGCACATAGATATTCGCATATGGACAACAAAAACTCCCACTTATGGCGTGCGTGGACGATACAAACGACAGGGTACATAACAGTACTAAAAACACATTGAGATTGGAAAAAAAATATTTACAATAGTTACTTACTTTATTGTTAACACTTTTAGCGAAACAACGTCTTAGGTATAATAGTATATCCTTTGGAGGGAAATAATTTGAATCCAATGGGCCAAGACCCTCAAATGTATCATCTAGGACCCGTAGCTCTTAAAACAATTTTTTAACAAATATCCTCCTTTATCACATAAAAACTTTAACCGATATTGTGGCCCAACCATAGCTTCAGAGGAACTTGACATAAACTAACATTAACCCTTCATTAATTAATGTTTCAATATCAACATGACTATAATGGTCTTGCTGGTCTGGGAATGTTTTTGAATTCCTGTATAAAAGCAATAGGAAAACATATGGTCCCCGGAGCTAAGGTCCACAATTTAAAAAAAAAGGATGACACCACACAACTTAGGGATGAATCTTAATTAAAGTTAGAATGGCCCTATCATTGTTGGAAGCTTTTTCAATTAAATCTTCCAATTACATGTATTATTATGTTGCTATACAATGTTTGACCATGAGGAGTCATGATTTGAACAAATTTATCATGGTCTTGCTGTGATCTGAAGAGAGCTGTAAGAAATTTCAGTAAAAACTAAAAAGGGCTCAGAAAAGTTCCAATATACTCCTATGTATTTCTTTGAAATTTATTTTATATGTCTCATCCTGACCCTGTTGTTTTAGACAAGGATTTTGGTGTTTTATAGGTTTTCCTACATAGCAATTATATTAGGTTTTTTTTTAATTTTCACAAGGTGTACAGACTGTCAGCAACCTTGGAAACTTGCTTATGAATATTCAAAATAAACCTACATATTATACAGATATAACACATAAGTAACATATAAACTAAAGTTTTCTCTGTATAGCAACTTTAAAATGACTTAATCTAAGGGAAGAATAATTTAAGAAGAAAAAAATATTCTGAACCAAGTGATTTTGTCACAAAAACTAAAGAAAACCTTTCAATATAAGAGCTCAATTTTAATGAGTATAAACTGATAATAACATCATTGAGACATCATCTCTCTCTCTCTCTCTCTCTCTCTCTCTCTCTCTACACACGAATGTTAGCTTAGATATACATGTATACTATTATGAATACTATTAAATAAGGCATCGCAGGCAGTTGCGATTGCTTTCCATACAGTTTAGATCTAAAATACCACAATTATAATAATGAACCTCCCTTGAAAAAAGGCTGTTTAGAATGAAACATAGTAATATAATTGATTTCGAGTATTATTAAAATGTCATCATGTATGAAACGGTATTCATTGATTTTAAAAACTAATTTATGTCTCTTTTCACGGCAGTCTGGTGTACGTGTTCACATCGGGAGAAACGATAAACGACTATATTGCTGGCCGATTCGCTCTTTGTTACAGAATAATACAAAATGCGACATATTGCTTGACCCTCTGATCTATAAGCCATTTTGTTTCTACTGACGCCGTGTTTGTTTACGCCGATTGACCTTTGACTTAAAATGGCGATGGTAATGTGAAAGTCGACTATAGGTTGCACAACAGTAATAAATTTTTCTATATATTCTTACCAGAAATGCGCAACTTTGAGTAGGTGGTATTAATTGAAAACAAATTTTTGAGAAGTTTCCTTTTCAGATCTTGTAAAACAATTCTTTATAAAGATTTTAGTACAAAAAAATACATAGCCATCCAGCAAGGCACGCAAGTTTGTTTCGGTCGAAGTCGAGCAGGTGCTTGAAAATCAAGTCCAGGACCCAATCACTCCCCACTCAAAAACAGTATATAGAAAAATTAGCACGCATTAAATTATAATGAATCTAGTCAATACAGGAAGTTTACGTATTGTTTTTCATCTCATAAAAAAATTCAACTCCAGTCTCGTATTAAAATACCCGAATCGGAAGGGAAGAATCAGGAATTATTTTGCGTCAGCCATGATTTGACGTGAACCAAGAGGTTGTGACACCTATAAAGGGTCAGTGGCTCTCTCTATATAAAGTTTGTTCACATGCGGATTATGCCAGAAGACTTCAGCTTTATTACGGTAATCATGCTTAGATATGCCATTATAGGCCTAGTCCTGTCTGTATGGACAACCTTTGGACAAATCTGGTAAGAGCATTAAAATATCTCATAGAACATTTAAACAATGTTTTTCTTTATGTTTCTGATAATTTGGAACAGAACTTTAACATTTTATTCGAAAAAACAGTACTGCATGATCACGGATGAGAAAAAAATTAAATTTCTTTTAAAAACATTAAACATTTTTTGGTCATTTATAAGTTTAAATTTTTCTTGTTATCTTTAATTTTTCTTTATTTAACAGTACAGACGCAAACATTAAGACTGTCGCTAGGATTGTTTTCGGAGAAGCCCGAGGAGAACCGATGAGAGGACAACTCGCCGTTGCCTACACCATTGTAAACCGAAAAAATCACCAGGCATATCCGAACACCATAAACGACGTAGTTTATCAGAAGAGAACAAACGGGAGAGAATACCAGTATGACACGCTACATATGACGGCGCATACACAAGCTTGGAACGATGCCCAAAGAAGGAATACACAGGAATACAAAAACGCAATAAAAGCATCTGGTGACGCATTATGTAATCGGCAGAGAGATCCAACAAGATGTGCCACAGATTACTGCGCATTTGATCCCTGTCGTTCCACAAGATCTAATAAATGGTGGAGAGCTACCAATAAATTGAAGATAGGAAACCATTATTTTGTGTGTCGCGTTGCTGCCAGTGGATAATATCAAATATAAATTTTTGTGTAGTATTTTGTACCATTATTATTTGTAAAATTTCCAACAGAACAAAACCGAAGAGCTTTATATGACAAACATGTACTTCTAAAAAATCATTTTCTGATTGATTAATCATTATCAACATCATTCTTTTTTGTTTGTATTCATAATAGATTAAGATCGGTACAAGTGAGTTAACATAACCTATACCAGAATAAACATTTTACTACTGCAATGTTGAATTTTTACTATAACTTTTGTGTCGGAAATATTTTGCGAATGTGATATCAAAAAAGAGTTAAAATATGTTTTCTCCTTTCCTGTTACAAATATTTGAGCTCTATATATTCACTAAAAGAACACAAATCTGTGAACAGAGCATAAAACAAGGACTCCCGGAAATTTCAGATGTGGGATCACGTGCCTAGGAGAAGAAAGGATCCCCTGTAGACCTGTGACATCCACCGTGAGTCCTATCTATTGATCAGGTAGATGGATTAATCCCTTGAAAAATTTTGTATAAAGACAAAGTCCTAACAATTAGTATGTATGAAATATATCGGTCAAAATACGACCTAATCATAGATTATCTTTGCTAACAAAGACATTCTTAAGACCGCAGAATTTACGAAATACTGACTTTAAGCAAAATTGTTGAAATCCTTGTAAAATCAATTTATTTGTCAGCAGCTCATCTCAGTTTAAAACTTGGTCATTCTCAGAGCATATATAGGAGGAGGCATAAAAACCATATGCAGATGATAGGGGAATATTACTACATAAATAAGAAAAAATTGACGATGAAAAAAAAAGTCATCTTGTTTGTCATACAGTTTAGTTGTTATGTTTGACCAGCTGTGAATAATTTTCTGTCATTATTTAATACATGCATAAATGTTTATCATTAAATCTCGATTAAAAGTGGCTTCTCCTTGTAAGGTCAATTACTATTGCAAGCAAAACGTGTGTTCCTTGTCTTACTTTAATTCCTCTTAAAACCAAAAAATAGCACCAAAATATTTTGTATTTGTTTCATATACTTTGTCCTATATTATTATACTACTATTGAGAACGGATAGCAACAACCTTATGTTATCACTTCGTATAAATATTATGCAAAATGTTCTTATGAAGTAAAAATAATAAAAAGTAAATAAATAAAAATAATGCATTAAGATCTAATACGATTGTCAAAAGAAAGTATATGTACGTGCAATGTCGTGCAATTCAATATCAAAAGTGAAAAAAGATGAAGATAACAACCAGTGATCAATCTAAAAAAATCCACAAGCTATACAAATCTGATAACAGGGCATAAAACATGGACCCCGGAAATTTTAGAGGTATGATCAGGTGGCTGAGAGTAGTAAGCATCCCCTGTCAACCAGTTGCACCTGCTGTTAGCTCTAAATATTGATAAGGTGGACGGAATGTTCCATAGCCAAATTCAGTATAAAAACAAAGGCCTAACAATTAAAAATTGGTATGAAAATCATAAGCCAAAATACGACCCAATGATACTTTTTTTTACCTCAGATAATACTTTCATTTTGACTTGAAATGAGATCTTTTTTTCCCTTGTTATATGAAGGCATTAACAATGAAATATATGGAGATAACGAACAGTATTCAAGCTCAAAAATTCATTAAACATTACAAAATAAGAGCAGAGCAAACACGGACCTCTAAAACATCAGAGGTGGGATCAGGTGCCATGGAGGAGTGAGCATCCCCTGCAGACCGGTTACACCCGCCGTAAGCTCCTTGTCATGATCGGGAAATAACGGAAAAATCTGTCGACAATTCAGTGTGTAAATAATGGCCTACAATTAGTATGAAAAACGTCAGTCAGCATTTGACTCAATGATAAATTGTATTGCTGACAAGGTCATTGTATCGACCATAAAACTTACGAAATGATGACTTTAAACGAGACTGCTGATATTCTTGTTTCATCAACTTGTTTTTGAATAATTTACCTCGTTTTAGAAATTGTACAAACGTAGAGCATGCTCTTGCGTATCGAATCAACTGAGAGATATAAACTCCGTATGCAGGTGATGAAGGTATACTGCTGCTAAAGTAAGGGAAGTTGACGATTGAAAAATTAAAGTCATCACGTTTATCATAAAGCTTGATTGTTAGATTACCATTAACGTCTTTTTCAAGTAAAATATCCAAATATGAAACAGATGTGTTAGACTCTGTGGTATCTTTTATCTCAAGCTCACCGGGATATATCGTATCGACATAAGAATGGAAATAACCATTGTTAATTGACAATACGTCGTCGATATATCTAAATGTCGAGTTGAAGGCCACAGCAAGTGTTTTCTTCTTTTCAAGTATAAGATTTTGGACAAATTCTGCTTCATATGAATACAAAAAAAGGTCTGCTAATAACGGGGCGCAATTGGTACCCATGGAAATTCCAATAGATTGTTGGAAGACCTGGTCTCAAAAAATAACATAGATATTGTCAATCAGAAACTTTAGCATTTTTTTAATGTCAGCTTCAGAGTACTTTTGTGTACAATCAGAATGCTTTTTAACAAAATAATTTTGCAAATGACAAATGACAAGTTAAGTAAATTTACAAGTTCCATTTTTATTGAAAAAGCAGCTGTCATTGATATAAAAAAAAAACCTGGACCTGGACTGGAATTTATCGTGGGGAATGGTTGTGTATAAAGTTGAAAAGCCGTAAGTTTTTAAGCTGTTGATTTTGGTAAAATCTTGTGGTTTCAAATTTTCCAAAAGTTCCTTGGAATTTTTTGAAGTATCCACATCTGATTTACACCACTTCTCGAATATATTGTTGCACAGTACTCTTGAAGTTTCTCCTTCACTACTGTTAATATCTTAGTGAGGAGCGAAGAAAGAGGCTTGGTTGAACATTTAGTGGAACACGCTATATATCCTTTTTGTAAGGATTTTTATTAAGTTTCGGAATCCAGTAGATATGGTAATTCAAATTTATTTTGGTTGTTTGGAATATTAAAAATATTCAAAACTGACGTATGATTTTGAAGAATTTCTTCCTTAAAAAGGGAACTATGAGTATAAATTGGATTACCACTTGTTAAATTAAATCCAAGTTCCTCTAAAATACATTTAATATAATGAGCCTTACAAACAAAGACAATATTGTTACCTGCTTTGTCAGCAGGGACCAGTACGTACTGATCATGTAATATATCTAATTCTTTTTTTCACTTCTGGATTATTGAAAACAGAAGGATAAATGGTTTTCATATTGCCCCTCAATCTTTTAATGCGCGATTTTAAAATACATCTGATACATTTAATCCAGTCTGACAAAGTGTCAAGGTGTTCTTTTTCATGTCTTGCCCATCAAGAAATGCAAGTGAAGACAGTGTAATAATACATATGAGTTGATAAGTTGAAGTCTGTAACTGACTCATACAGTTAAGATGATAGTTTGCCTTCAATGCCTTTCTCTTTCTTTGAAACAGATGAGAAAGGTTCTATCTGTTATTTCGAATTTATTTGAAAAATAAATTTAACGTATGACTAAAATTAATATTGTAAGTTTAAGTTCAAAACAAAAGAAGAACCTTAACATGAGATAAAATTGTTATTTATATACATTACAATATTTATGCTCGTATTTAATCTATTTTAACTTTTAATTGATAAAATAAACATAGAGTAGCGTTTGTAATATAAATATATTTACAAACACACCACATTAATTCTATCAAGTTTCTGTACCAGTAAGTGAGGAGCAGAAAATTAAAAAAACTTGTTATACATAGAACCTTTCCAGCTAGAAATAATTCATTACGTCCATGTAATAAAAATATGCACATAGATATTCGCATATGGACAACCAAAACTCCCACGTATGGTCATTCAGGCGTTGACGATACAAACGACTGCGTACATAACAGTGCTAAAAAGCATTGAGAAAAAAATAATATTTAAAATAGTTACCTGTTATATTGTTAAACTTTTAGCGAAACAAAGTCTTGGGTATAGTAGTATATGGTATAGTAGTATATCCTTTAAAGGGAAATGATTTGAATCCAATGGGCTAAGATGCTCAAATGTATCTTCTAGGACCCGTTGCTCTTAAAAACGTTTAACAAATATCCTCCTTTATCACATAAAAACTTTAACCGATATTGTGGCCCAACCATAGCTTCAGAGGAACATGACATAAACTAACATTAAGCCTTCATTAATTAATGCTTCAATATCAATATGACTACAGTCGTTTGACCAGTTGCGAATAGGGAACCGAGTAGGCCGTGCTATAAATATATGACGGTATTATTTCAAAATCTAATTTGTTTGTCAAAGTAGTTCAATGACTTGCGGAATTAAATGTTGTTTCATAAAAGTTCAGCCTTTCAAAAAAACTTTTTATTTTAGCAAGTTAACATGGGTACTCATTTTACTAGTTATTTTCTTCCTGTATGTAAATAAGAACTAGCCCAACTGATGCATAAGAAATAAAAACATGTAAGACAGGCTTGGGTGAAATGAATCCATGGTTTTATTTAGTTGAGCACACAGGTATATTATGAAACATTACATAATAATGTGTGTAGGCGAATTTAAAAATGAGGAATAATACTATGCGCAGTACAGTTAAGGTGCCAAATGGAAATATCGGCGAATTTTTTAGACAGAAAATACATTCTTTACAAGGATGGGCGATTCTTTTCAGACCTTTACTATTATCTGACAAATGTAATGTGGCTGAAAATTACATGTTGAGGACGTTTAGATTTCTTATTTAGATTTGTCACGTAATGTGGCAGTCACGTGATCTTAGCAAATATACCTGCAGTATTGAGGTCATCTATAAATTCCCATATTGCAAGGGCATAACCAAGTTAAAAATCTAAGATTAATTTATAATTATTTTCAACACTCTTTGTAGTTTGTGAAAAGTGCTGCGAACCTATATAGATTCTTACGGAAGCCGGTTGGTGCCAGGTAGAAAAAATACTTTACCTGGCACCTGCGGTTTCCGTAGACTCTACTATATACTTAGTAATTGCTAAAATTACATTTGTTAGACCGTGTATTGAATATTTTGCTGGTCAAGTACATTAAATGTAGATATAATTAATTCATTTGCAAGATTTCATCAGGTTCGCAGCACTTTTCAAATATCTTCTTACCTCTTGAGTTAATGTGTAAAAGCTTGTCGTAATTCATTGAGGGTAAGCCCTTGCAATATATCGATTTATTACGGCCCTTCTATTACCCTTTAATGAATCTGCATACAAATGTACGGCAGTTTCACTTGTCTAGGGAATGTACGGAAAGTATA